TACCCAAACCCATAATTAATCAAAACACATAAAAAAAATTAATCCCAAACTGAAAATAACCTCATCATCAAGGTTGGCAAACCGTGACATCTGCCCATGCTCGCGATATGACATCAGCCTCCTGGAACTTTGCAATCCTCACAATTTTGATGTGGATGTCACGGCCTGGCTGTGAGAATCTGCTTTACAGCGTGAGTTTTGGCACATTTCTCCATTTTGGCTCTCTTTTGACCAATTTTTATTCTTTTTTGCCAATTTCACCTGTTAGAACATAAAACACACTCAAACATGCAAAACCTAGTGTAAAACGGCTTCAACAATGATGAAAAACAAGTAAAAAGGCCAAAAAATTCGATATAAATGTGTACAATTAGGCTTGAATCAATTGAATGAGTTCTTAAGTTGAGCTTGCATCCCTTCATGGTGCAAGCATCTAAATGCTAGTTGCATGGAACGAGATCGAACACGGCAGTTCTATACTATCAATCCTCAATTCGATTGACCAGCGTGGTGACTCAAGGGAGATATAAGCAAAGGTTCCTTGTTGTCTTCCAGGCCTAGGTAAGAAACCAAGGCACAAGGTAGGATTAGATCCTATAAGTATCAAGCAACTCCTATGTTACCGGAATAGAGAGACAAGTCGAGGAACTCTAGGGGGAAGGCTTGTCTGTGCAACGCCTCTCTCTTATGCTTCATACACTCGCACTAGCTATATTTTTCCTTTACACTTGCTTTCAATTTTTTACTGTAAAACCGAGGGGACCTTCAACTCCAGAGGAACCTTAACATCCATATTCACATTTTACACCTCATAGAACTCGTCTCTTGCCACCTGAGTAAGTGCTTGTGAAAGACCCTAGGGAATTCGATCTTGACCTTAAGCTTGGGTAAATTTTCGTCCACATACTACATGAGATCACATTTTCATTTCGGGTACCCCTTTCTTTGTCCCTTTTGTTTGGGTTTCATATGCAAATTACACTTCGATACCTAAATTTAATAGATGTTAAGATTTAGTACCTAAAATTGATTTTATGCAAAAACAAATCCTATAAATATTGATGAAAAATTATATTTTAGTTTGTTTTATATTATGATACCTAAAAATTTTAAAATATACAAATGTGTCCAAATTTCATGAGGTTTCTGGTCTATGTTAAGAAACTTGTGGTATGTTTTATGAGATTTCTGGTATACTTTAAGTAACGAGCAGTATACTTTAATAAACTTGTGGTCTGGTTTATGAGCTTTTTGATATGAAGTACAAGGTCTCCTGTATGCTTTTAGATACTTGTGGAGTGTTTTAAGAAACTTGTGTATGTTGGGGAACTTGTGGTTCGTTTTAAGAAACTTGTGACATTTGCACATGCCCGCGAGATGACTTCAGTATTCTTTTATTACTATTATTAACAAAAGATAATCATATATATTGATTGGAAAAGAGATCATTACATCCTGGACCGAAACCAGGCCACAAAATCAAAAGAGCGACACAAGGTCGGGTACAAGAAAAGGGCCTTACGAGCCACCAAATGGGCTACCGTATTACTACGCCGACCAACAAATCGCACTGAAAACCCTATATGCTCAGACAGGTAGCTTAAAACTGCACGGAAAATGGCCCCATCACGACTATCATTGTTCTGAGCTTGGTTAAGTCTATCAATAACGACCTTGGCATCACCCTCGAACAGAACCACCGATATAACCCCTCTGAACGCACCAAAGGACCGCATCCTCAGTATTCAGCCTTCTGAAATTTGTGCAATCCTCACTGTTTTGATGTGGATGTCACGACCTAGCCGTGAGAATCTGCTCTGGATAGTGAGCTTTGACACTTTTCTCCATTTTGTCTCGTTTTGGCTCCCTTTTATCCGACTTTCATTCCTTTTGCCAATTTGACCTACTAGAACTTGAAATATACTCAAACATGCAAAACCTAGCGTAAAACGGCTTAAGAACGATGAAATACAAGTCAAGCGATCAAGAAAAGGGATATAAATGTGTATAATTAGACTTGAATCAATCAAATGAGTTCCTAAGTTGAGTTTGCATTCCTTCATGGTGCAATAATCCAAATCCTAGTCGTCTGGAACGAGACCGGACACGACAGTTTTATAACTATTGATCCTCGATTCAATTGACCAACGTGGCACTGATACGTCGCGACATTGAGTTTTACATTTATAAACTCAATCATCGACAATACTAACTAGACCAATCTAGGACAAGTGCACCCTAAATCAGCAAAGTAGTATAGTGGTAATCGAGGTTGTTTCCACGGGTCACGATATCTAGGGGTGGCGATACGGTCCGGTCCGGTTAAATTGGCCCAAATTGATTCGGTCCCGGTCCGATCTTTTCGAGAAAATAAGGATCAAAGATTGGATTGGATACAGTCTGGTTTTTATCCGGTCCGGTCCCAATTCAGTCTTGATTTTAAATTTAACTTGTGGGGATTTGAGTGGCCTAAGGCCTGAAAGGGTGAGGATGTTAATTTTGATTGTTGGGCTCTCTTTATCCAGTTATTCGGTCCGGCCCCAAATGATTTTTTACCTCCAATCTATGCCCAAAGATTAGATTGGATTGTTTGCTATCTGGTCTCGGTCCAATCTCAATCCGGGTTATACGGTCCGGTTTTGGGTAAAACTAAAAAACCCAGACCAAATAGCTAGCCCTAACGATAATATCCTGGACTACTTAAAATCGTCAACCTGTTGCTTAGCAATCTCCGTAACTTGATCATCATGGATCATTCTTTCAGTAGCTAATCTAGGCACCATTCTTTTTTTTTTACAATTAATCTAGGCACCATTTTCGACCCCTAATGAGAGGTGATCTACGACTACTACGGTAGCAATTCACTTTTGATACTATTCTCAGCTCAACTTGAAAATAACACACAAAACAGCAAAAATAAAGTAATTCAGATTCATTCAATAAAAAAGAAGGGTACAAACACTAAAATATTACAAATGCTGATACGTTGAATTAAAAACAAATAACACTACAGCCTCCGATTCTGAGTGGGCAACCCATTCTCAGTTCCCATCCCCACTGAGCCTGCTGGAAAATCAATTAGGTCGCTCTAACAGCTGTACGAAAACCCAACCTCGGGGCCTTGCCAACGCCCTAGGGGACTTCCCTTGCTCTCTGAACTTAGGAGGACTTGTGGAGCTTGAACCCAAAAACTCTTGGTACATAACTCTGTGTTGCCTTCTGTGGCTTCAAGTGTCCATACGTCATCAGAAATAGGTGAGGAAACGTTGTCCCAAAGTATGCTCCATCAAGGTCTGTGCATTCGTTAATGAAAACAGCAAACCGCTTCCAGCAAAGATACGTAGCACAGAAAGCAAAAGTGGTACAGAAGCAAAAGCGAAAGAACAATTTCAGATAATAACAAAGGATACTGCCTTGGTACTTTGATCGAGGGTAATATATGTCTTCACATTTCGGGCAGTAAATTTTAACAGTACTTGAACGAGGAATATCAGATTGGCCAACTGGAAGGCAGGGCTGTCCACAGCAGTAAACTCTTGGGCATCTCCCGAAGTCGTAGTTCTTGTACTTCTCCAGCTGTACAGGTTTTTGCACACAACCAAACTTATAACTAAACCCAGGAGAAATAATTGAACTGAAAAACAACGATAGAGGATGATAATTCAGCACGAGGACTATACCATTGCAGCTATGCCCTTGCTAGTGAGTATATAACGCACATGAATTAGACCATAAAGCATCTCTGCTGCTGACTCCACCAACTCATTCTGCTCTTCAGTGAACATATCACCTGCACAACAACCCATCATAGGTGATAACTGGATTAACTTATATAATTTTGCAGTAAGGTTTAGATCATTAGGGCAACTCCCACTTTGGGTTTACTTAATGATTCGTACTGGGAAAATGAGTTCACTACAGATTCCCACACTTAGTAGATTGTCCAAAGAGAAAGAAGAATAGGAGAAAGGAAATGAACAAAGTTTTCTTGCAACTAAACACAAGAGAAATTACATTTGAGTACTGGGCACAGTGGTAGGTTAGCAAGGGTAAAACATATTTTTCGTGAAGTTCAGTAACTCACAGAATAGCTAACAGAAATTTATGGCTACAAATGAAATTCATATGTTGAAATGAAGCCTCATTAATTCAGCAAAACTTACCGTGAGAAGATTCCACGTCTAATATTAGATCAAGTGCATAATCATAATACGGAACTTGACTGCTCAATCCACAAAGATTAAAATCATCTTGGATGTATTCATCATCCACTTCACAGAAAAATTCATTTCCTCGAAGATTGCAGAACCATGAAATCCAGGATGTGTCATCCCCCTCAGAACCACTTACGTCTGACTCTTCACTGTCAGTCTCAGATTCCTCTGCACCACCAACCATTAACTTAGTGAAGAATTGAAGTGTTAAAGTTCCGACTTTACAGCAATAGGAAAGAGAGATGAACATTAACTGGTGATCTGACATGACACAACCTGTTCAAATGAGATCATCCCCTGGACTATAATTAAATCATAACAATTGTGATTAAGTTGGACACAAGATCATATGAGGAACTATTATTGAAACAAAAACGAATGCAGTAATTATGCTTCTTTACAAAAGATCAGATCAAGCAAGTTTCATTCAGGGTGGAAATTTTTCAAATTAGGCTTACTCCATACTATCCTCCTCATGGGAAGGAGCACTGATGAGAGGAAGGATACTTTTGACCATCAACTTCATGGAGGCATGAAGAACAGTGATGAGTAATGGCAGTCGTAGGCTTTCTATAGTTGGCACGAACCAAAACATTACGGAAATAGGCATAATGAATGAATTCAGTTAGCGTTGATAGTTATTGCCCCTGTATTTCCACCTCATCTAATCCTATGAGTCCAACTTAATTGCAAGCATTCCGAATTAATTGAACTGAGGTAGCCATAAAGAAGGCAGAGCAAGGGACAAAGTATTATAAATTAGGAATCCGTTCGGCTTTCTAGACAATGTGTTGCAGAAAGGGGAAGCTAGCGAGTGTAACCTCTCGTATCACGAGTGACACATTTTAGGTTCTCTGACGACATGAAAATGTTATGTTCCATGCGGAAAACCATTACGGAAAGAAGTCATAGAAGTCAAGAGGCCAAAAAGACATCAATTCATCAATGCATGAATCATTTTGAAAGGAAACCATTAAAACCATAGAGATGCAGTTAACCACAATCCATGAGACAAGATGACTGCTCTCCCAATTGCTAACTTAAAAATCTTGACAGCAAATTCAAATTTATCAAATACGAAAGAAATATTTGTAAAAGAGTGAGCAAATGTGTTTGGTCCAGGCCAAGAAAGAATGAAAGAAGCACAAAACTGACCCTAAAGAGGTAAAACCCAATAATCTGTTCAGCAGCATGAACCAGAAAACCTACCATCGGAGCACTTGTTCTTGGATAGAGAAGCCACTCGAGAATCGCGATGATCGAGCTGCGATTTGCCCGTGGAAGTGGATGGTACGGACAGCCTCTCTTTGTCCTTGCTGTTCAAGGCCCTCGAAGTTGATGGAGACGATTTCTCTAGGTGCTTGTCAAGCGCATCGTTTATGCGCTTCCGATCGAGGGGTCCTCCTACAAGCTCCGATCTCGATGAAACGCTGCCGGCTCCTCCTCGATCCCGATGATACATAATTTTCTTTCTAACAGGCACTTGAGAATGCGAAACGCTAATATGAACCTCTCTCGACCAAAACTTCAAGCATTAGAACGCCAACATGGTGATTGGTGAGAGATGAAAACGATAGAGCGAGGTAAACCCTAGATTGGAGAAGTTAGGGTTTCCCGAGGGAATTGAAAGGAAAGAGATCGGCAAGGAGGAGGTAACCCAGATAGAGAAAGAGAAATAGAACGAGTGCGAGGCAGGACTGGTTGAGTCCGGTCGAAAAATATCAGAATAAGCATCGAATTACGAATCGGCCCCTGTTTCTTTTTTTTTTTTTTTTCAAAACACATTTGTATATGCATAACTTTCACATTTTTTACAAATATAGCTATATGGCTAGTATTCGGTAAACCGGTATCCGGTATAACCGGTTACCGACGATATTCGGTATACCAGATACCGGCGGTATCGGTATACGGCTATACAATTGTCCAAACAGTATACCGGATATTATCCAGTAATATACCGAAGGAGAATCGATATACCGTAATACCGGAACCCATTAGAGAAAAAACAAAGGCAGCGCAGCGGATGGGCGATTGGGGGGTCAAACCCTAATGTCCAAAATCGGCCCTCCCCCATTGCACGTCGCGCTCGACCCTCTCCCTCCGTGACTCCAAATCTGGTTCACCTCCCCATTGCATCTTTGTCTTCCTCGTCTCCTCACCAGCCAGCAGTCAGCAGCAGTCCCGACGGAGAGAGCTACACCGCGATTCTGACCAGCCAACATTCCGACCACGATTGAGGATTGAAGCAGAGGCGTAGAGTTCGAGGACAGAGGCGCAGAGTCCGCTGAGTTCGAGATCGACGGCAGAGGCGTAGAGAAGCTGGGGCTGCTGACGCAATTCCGACCATCGTCAAGCTTTCTTCTTCCCCATTCTGACCGACGGCGAACGCTGTTGCAACTTGCAAGGTGGATTTCAGTCAAGTGATTAATTGATTGTCGTTTACTTACCAGCCATGTGTTCTGTCTCTCCTTCCCTTGTCCCTCTGATTGGCTAACTCTGATTAATTTTTACCTCCCTTTAGCTCATTTTCGAGGAGGCTAACAGCAGCCAGCCCAGCCCTCAACAAGAAGCAGCGCCCAGGGGGAGTGTAGCCCTTTTCGAAGCTAACGGCAGTCTGCCCTCCACAAGAAGCACTGAAGCAGCATCCACATTGAACAATGTTAGTCTTGAGTTTGGGGAGAGAAATTTAGTGAATTGGATTTAGTTAGTTTAGTGAATTAGATGAATAAGATTTAGTGTTGTCGGATTTCGGTATACTGGTGTAAAACCGAATACCGGTTATCCGGCATACTGATTAAAATTTGATATCGATATTCGGAGCCTATATTCTCAATATCCGGTGTACCGAATACTGGGTAATCGGTATCCGGTATACTGGATACCGACAGACTACCAGTCCTTTATATCTATAGTTATTCGAAAACATAAAATAGCCAATTTCATTCATCATTTTAACGGTGTTACTTAACCATCTGACTAGACTGACGGAAATGCTAACCTCGCGACATTTCGTGTAACATCCCGAACCTTTTCCCGACAAGATATTGTCGGCTTTGGGCCTCTACACCCGCACGGATTTCGACTTGGGTGCAATTCAAGGTGACTTCGCATAAGGTCACCCATGCTTGTTGTACTCCACGCTGAGCACGTTTAACTTCGTAATTCTCACAAGAACTCCTCCATTACAACCCAAAATGCATCTTGTCAGTTAAGGTCGGTTTCTTACTTATGAACCATGGATCTCTCCTGTGCTTTGCCGATGTGGGATATGCATAAAGTGTTAAGGTCGAGCAACCTGCTTGTTTCTTCTCGGCGGAGGTACCGCTGCGCTGAAGGATTTGAGGTCGACGAGAGTGAGGGACATGAGGCCGAGATATATATCACAACCCTCTCTGTTTTCTCGCCGATCAAAACAGAGGCAAAGAGCAGCAACCTGTTTCTTTTCCCTCGACCTACCAACTCTAAATCCTGCTTGTTTCTTTTCCCTCGACCTACCAACTCCAAATCCTCCATCCCTGCTGCTCCCTCTTACAGTTGATATTGCTTCCTTGAGATTCGCCCAATCAGTTTATCTACGGAGGACAGGTCGGTGGTGAGAAACGAAACGGATTTCATCAAACCAGGAAGAAGAACCCAATCTAGAACTGAGCCGAAATCGCAGTGATTGTCGCCGCTCTGGTGGCGAGAGGATCTCGATGAAGCTTCGCTAGCGAGGCTGCGAGTGCGAGGAGCCGCTCTGCAACGATTGGAAAAGAAGACGCTCTCTCGGTCCTCTTCGTGGGGATGAGGTGCGATTCGAAGGGGGAAGAATCTGGAAGGTGGGGAGGTATTGTGGAGATGGGCGTGGCCACAGGGGGGAGCGGTTCCAGAGAAGGCGAATGTGAGATTGGAATTTGTGAGGAAGGGGAAGGCAATTTTTGGGTAGTGTTTATGGTGGCGACGCGGGAGATTTGTAGTGGCGGTGGTGAAATCGCCGTCGGTGGTGACATTATTCCGGTGGGATTTTCTTGGCTACGGCGGTGGCGGAGGAGCAGAGCTGGGATGAAGGAGAAGGGGACGGTCGTAGTGAAGGGGAAGGAGAAGGGGAAGGGTTTTTTGTTTCTTTTATGATTAAATATTATATGTATTTTTTATTCGTATTATTTTTATATTATTATATATAATCTACATGTCACAATATTTTGATTTGTCGATGACGTGTGCGTTGATTTGGCGTCCTAATCAGCAAATAGCTAACAAAACTGACGGCTTCACTAACACCGTTAAAGTTTCTAATGGAAATGGCTAGATTTGTCACACTACCCTCCAATTTCTTGGCTATTTTGTGGTTTCGAATAGTTATGGCTATATTTGTCAAAAACGTGAAAGTTATGGCTATACAAGTATATTTTGCCTTTTTTTTTCTTACTTCAATATAAGCTATTACAATATTACTTATTACTTTTTAGCATAGTTAGTAAATTATCCGTTTAATACACGTATATGTGCCCGTACGTATTTTATCAGTTTAAAATTTCTGTTTTATTGTCAAGTCTCTTCATTTTTCTCCGTTCATTTGATAGCTCTCGTACTAAACACGTATAAAACCAGTGTAACACGTTTAATATCCATATTTAATTAATTAAATTGTTAAATTTACTATTATTTATGTATTTTTTTTAATAATATATTCTATATATTTATGACTATTAACATACTATTAAATGTAACATTAGTTTAGAGAGAAAGTAAAATACTCGTATGTATTTTCCCGTACCGTATTTTACTACCTATGATTATTAGCAAGGTTGACAATCCGGTTTAGCACGTTAATCCGGTTAAGTAAGTGGGTAAGAATCAAGGTGCCGGATGTTGTACTAGAAAGGTGAGCCGTATGGTATTTTATGCTAAAATCATGCTTTAACTGTGGTTCAACAGCTTCATACTGCTAGATACCGCCTGCCGGTTTAGTCTTTGGTAAGAGGTTTTCTGGTCAAACCACCGGTACGGTATGGTATTTCAATCCTTGTAAGAATTAATGGTCTAATCGATTTAGTCCGACTTTGGCCCAAATATTTGAAAAGAGCAGTATATTGTGCATATATATAAATTATATCAAATTTCATCTAAAATAAGATAAAAACATCGAACATTACACTAAAATAATTAAAATACTTGAATACCACCTTAGGATAAAAACATAAAACATACTATGGGTTCGTAGAGCAATTTCAGATAGAAACTTTCTATGACGGTCTCATTCAAGATGACAAGATCCTTATCGACTCTCTTCGCCAAGGGAGGTTGATGAACATGACCCCGCCTCTAGTGACTGAGTTGCTCGAAGATATGGCTCTTAAGGATATGATTGGAGTTTGACGAGGAGTGGTAAGAGAAGCACCGAAAGAGGAGTGCGAAGTGTAGGAGCAAGTGTTCCACTTGAAGCCAAGCTTGACAAGTTAATAGAGGTGATCCTTGACGACAAGAAGCAAGGGAAGAGAGCGGTGATGTCTTGTGATTGGTGTTCTATCACTAATTATGAAATTGTGGATTGCCAAGCGATGAAGGAGACAAGTACCCCCGAGGAGAAAGTGAGCTTCATCGCCAATGCTAGAGAGAACAAACCTTATAACAACACCTAAAACCCCGGGTGGCGCAATCATCCAAACTTCGCTTGGTCTTCCCCTACCAATCCAAGACCTCCCGGTTTCCAAGGTCCGACGGGCAACTATCAATCTCGTGCGACTTACATCCAACAAAGGCCTCAATTCCAAAACTCAAACTTTCAACAACCATACCAAGCACAAGGTGGCCAAGGTTTCCAACAATAACAACAAGTCGACAATTTTACAAAACTGGAAGATCTAGTCACCACCTTCGTCAGTACAAGCTCTCAAAAGTTCGAGAAGATTGAGCAATTCATGGATGTGGTAACCTCAAACTTTACCTCGGTGGATGCGGGACTCCGAAGTCATCAAGCAAGCCTCCAAAACTTGGAAGTGAAGATTCAGATATGCCACTCACACTAGGACGTCCTTTCCTTGCCACCGCCAAGGCTTAAATTGATGTGAATGAGGGAACTTTGATTCTGAGAGATGGTGAGGAGAAAATTACTCTTGGAATTGAACCTAAGCCTAGGAGTGAGGATGTGAAGGAGGTGGAATCAAATGATATGAATGCAAGTGGAGGAGAGCCTCTCAAGGCGAACACCACTATTATTGTTGTTCCTTTTGGTGATGTGAAGCAATAAAACAAGGAGGGCATCTCGTCCAAAGAAAGAAGGAAGAGAGCTTGGAGGGAAAAGATGCATCACACTAATGCCCGGAGGAAGGAAAAGGGCAAAGCGAAAGTCATCGGCCAAGAAGGCCATCCCATGGAGTTTAAGTTGGGAGGCGACATGCCTCGCCCTAAGACCATGGTGGATTCACTCTCGACGGCTTCATGTTTTCAAGCATGATAGATCCGCAACGTCAAGCTAGTGACGTTAACTTAGTGCTTGTTGGGAGGCAACTCAACGTAGGTTTGTTTTCTTTTCCTTATTTTCTTTTTTTATGTCGAGTGAAGAGTTCAAGTGGTCGAGTGGTATCCTCGTGCCAGGTTTTTGTGATTGTGTGTTTTAAGCTGTGTCGTGAATGATAGTAGGCACGGAGTAGGTCGAGTAAAAATTTTCTATAAGTGCCATGTTTTCGCTGCAATTCATGGACGGATTGTTGTGTTCAGAATCTAAATCGACCGTGAACTGGCAAATGCGTCCGTGAACTAGGGTGCTTCCACGTGTGTCAAACCCACCAGTTCGCCCCAGTTCACGGATTGCTGTGTTCACGGTCTTGTAGACCGTGAATAGGCAGACGCGTCTGTGAACCTCGAGGTTTGCCTATAAAAGGGTCGTGAATGTTGACTCTTCACTTTACGACCCAAAAATTTCCGGAAAACTACGATTTTCCGAAAAATTTGCCATTTTTGTCCATATCCAGCGATCCAAACCAAACCAATCACTGACCCAGTCTCCCCTCATCAAAGGCGGCCTTCACTAAGATTTTGGGGAGATTTGGAGCACATTTTTTTTTGGTGAAGTCGCTGTCGACGAGCTTCCGATGAAGCTCCAGCGACCCTCCCCCGGCCTGTTTTCGGACAGTTTTTCGTTTCCCTCTCCCTCCCCTCACTTCTCTTACCATCCTACTTGAGTCTTCGGGTTTGTTTTCAACTCTACCTTGGTTAATTTGGTAGAATCAGATTAGGTAGTGAAGTGAGGAAATTTTTAGTGAATTGAATGTTGAACTTAGAAATAGGGCGAGGAATTAGGTGAATTAGGGTGAATGAATAATTGAATGCTGATTGCATGAGATTATTTATGCCTTGGTTGGCATGATTTAATTCCAATTGCTCTTAATTGTGGAATTTTCCCACCAAGTGCTAATTTGTGAATGAATGTGCAATTTTATTGCTTGAGTGGTGGATGATAGCCACTGTGGCATGGTTTGGGTTTAATTTTTGTGTGGATACTCCGTGAAACACCTAGAACCATGTATCGGTGTGATTGAGCTTAATTGTTTAAATAGCATGGACCCGTAGTGGAAAAATAAAAATGGGGGAATTCTCTTTCCTCCCAATGAGTTGAGATTTGACAATTATTTCCACGTATGGTGCATGTTTGATTGTTTTGCAGGATGGTCAATATGAACCACCCGTACATTGTGGTGATTAGAGCAAAACCCGCAATGGAGGAAGAGCTGAGATTTTGGGCAAGAGCTCACTCAGGAGGCCACTAGAAACTCGAATTCACTAAGTTCGACGGTCACCACTGTGGAGATGTCATGAGGTAGGCAGTGGCGCACCTACAATGGCGCTGGCTCCTCGAAATGGAAGATGACATCTTTGGCGAACTGTTTGTCGAGTTTTTCACTACCTTCATCGTCTTCAAGAGCAAGAGTCCATTCGGAACCCAGATGCGCACAATGAGATTTCACTTGGGCGGAGAATGCCGCACCTTGACTTTTGACGGGTTACGAGCCATGGGAGTTGAAGCCACATCCGGATCTGAGTGGGAAGAGGACGCCACAAGAGGTTGTGACATGAATGCCCTATTTCGACGGTTTTGCCTTCCAGAGCACCGAGGAACATAGTTTCGGCCAACCCTCACGTTGTCATCTGCGCTCTAGCCACAGTGGCGCATCATAATCACACTCTTGGCCCGTTCCCTCTACCTGAACTTCCACAATCCGAACAAGATAACCGAGAGGATCTTGTTGGCCTCCTCTTGCATGGTGGACCCGTCTAGCAAGCTGCATCTTGGTTCGGTCTTGGCCACTTCTTTTGCCCATACCAAGGGGGAAAATGACGATATGTCACGTCGATGGGGCCTTACATCACCCATCTTGCTCGCCACTTCAATGTTGATCTTGCAGGTTGCACTAAAGGAGGGGCACACCTCGGAGTTTGAAGAGGGAACTTTGCATTCCATGCGGTTATTGAAAACATTTGGACCATTTTGGTACATTGAGGGATTGACCCTACCACCAGAGTTCCCTCCTCTAGAGAAGCTACCTACTCAAGCTCCAGGCCGCCGCCAGCTTCCCGCGCTCCACGCCTTGCACCACCAGCAGCAGCATCAACACCATAAGGTGTCGGTCTTTCCACCTCCGGGGTGCACCTCGACGAGAGGATGGACCATCTTGAGAGCCACGTTGTGGGAGTCACCTCCCGGCTTGACCTGCATACCGACCTGCTAGAGCGGATCGCTCGTCGCTAGGGCCTCCTTCCAGATGATGATTCGGGCCTTCGACCTGAGAGAGGTAGCTGACAAGTGAGACATGTGGCAGAGCCAATTCCTTTCGCCCAACTTCTCCACTTGGAACTCTGAACTCTTTTATGTTATTTTTCTTTCTATTATTTGGTATGTGTGAACAACTACTAATATTGTATTGTTATGTAATAACCTCGCCTCGAGCGAGTATGTGTTGTGTTTGTGTGTGTTTTTGTTTTCTCCTTGAAGGTCAAATCTCCTACCCCG